TGTTCTTGCATATATTATGCAAGTAGAAACAATTGTAAAAAATGCAAAGAGATAGCAATAATCCAGTTGTAAAACTGAGTATATGGAATGCAACTCTTTGGTGATTCACAAAAACTCTTGCCTTTGGCAACCTGACGGGGCCCCTCTTCCTTGGCCCTCACCCAGGTATTGCTCCCTGCATGGAATTAAAAGTAAGAAAGCTACATGTTTGTTTTTAAGCTCTGAGCTGATTTCTCTGTGTATTTAAGTCAATATGGGAGATGTTAGTGTATTTTATTTTCTTATTCCTAATGGAATTCATACATTAAGTAACTCAAGGTAATTTACATTTTGTGTGTGGTTAAACTTCATTGCATTTCCACTGGTGCTGATAAACAATGGCTATGGAAGGGATGGTGGTATTCTTCAGCATCCACACCCCACTGTTATTTTTGGTATGCCTTATTATACGGATGCGCATGTGTGGTTTTTTTCTCTTTGGTATTATAATTACTAGAGGTAGTTGTTTTTTTTTTTAATCTTCACCAGAGGATATTTTTCTATTTATCTTCAGATAGAGTGGGAGGGAGGGAGAGGCAGGGAGAGAGAGAGAAACATTGATGTGAGAGAGACACACCAACTGGTTGCCTCCCACACTACCCTGACCAGGGCTGGGGAGGAACCGCAACTGAGGTACGTGCCTTTGACTGGAATTGAACCCGCGACTCATTGGTCCGTGGACCGATGCTCTAACCACTGAGCCAAAGCGGCCAGGGCAAGAGCTAGCTTTTCTATCTTGGATTATTAGAAAGTTCAGTCTATCGCCCTGGCCAGTTTGGCTCAGCGGTTAGAGTGTCGGCCTACGGTCCAGAGAGACCCGGGTTCGGTTCCCGCTAAGGGCACGTACTTCGGTTGCAGTTTGTCCCCGGCCCTGGTTGGTCGTGCGGGTGGCAGCCACTCGATGTGTCCCTTCACGTCGATGTTTCTGTCTGTCTCTCCTTTCCTCTCTCTCCCTCCCACTCTATCTGTACAAAAAAAAAATGGAAAAATATCCTCGGGTGAGGATAAAAAAAAAAAAAAAAGAAAGTTCAGTCTATCAAACTGACCCCATTAAACATAATGTTGCAAGTAACTCGTGCTAATGTGGTAAATTGTATTTTAGAAATGCATTCATGGATGCATTCTCCCAGAAAAATGGTCAGACAAAAAATGTGAGCTGCTTCATAAGTTACCATCAATAAGCTCCACATCAATTATTAGCCCCATAAGAGCTAATAGCAGCTGGTGGCTACTCATCTCTATTTCAGTGGTTGTAAAGGTGTTCTTAATCCTGAAGCAACCAGGATTGACTGAATGATAACTGTTTTAGGCAGTTAGGGCTTGGAAATTAGAATGGAGTGCTCACAGGGTATGCCTTAGAAACTTGCTGTGGATGGCTATGTAGGAAAGGAGAGGAGGAGAATGGGGGAGTGGCAGTCTCCAGATGTCCTGTAGAAAGATGACAGGCCCTTCTGTCAAGTGGTAATGGGTTCTTGGTGTTGGGCAGCTTAAACACGCCAAAGACAACTTTGGCTTGAAGCAGTGCTTCTCAAAGTACGGTCTCTGGTGCATATGCTGATTCTATTGCATGAAGAATCTTTGAAAACTGTATTCACTTCATAATGATGAGTGAATGATGAGGCATCGTTAAGACTCTACCTAGTCTTAGGCCTGATTCAAAACGATGATGATGTTAGTAGTCATGCTGATAATAAGTTTTACTGAGGATTTATACTCTGTGCCAGGCATGGTGCTGAATACTTTGTATGCATTATCTGACTTAGTCCTCACAATAACCCTCTGAAGTAGGTACCATTATTGCCTTCATTTTACAGAAAACTGAGGCTCAGAGATGAACATGACCAAGGTCATAAAGTTAGTTGCCAAGCCAAGATTCAAATTGTGGTCTAACTCCAAATTATATGCTTTTAAAAAATATGTGATAAAATACACATAACATTTATTATTTTCACCAATTCAAAGTGGTGTTTCATACATTCACATTTTGTACAACCAGCATCGTGCTATAATTTCTGAAAATTTTCATCACCCCAAAAGGCAACCTCCTGTCCATTAAGCAGTGACTCCCCACCCCCTTTCTCCAGAATCCCTGGTCACTACTGATCTGCTTTTTGCCTCTATGGATTTGCCCATTCTGGATATTTCATATAAATGACATCATGTAATATCTGTGTCTGGTTTCTTTCACTTAGCATTATGGTTTCAAGATTCATTTATGTTGTAGCATGTATCAGTACTTCATTCCTTTTTAGAGCCAAATATTAGTCCATTGTACCATATTTTGTTTATGCATTATTGGTAGATGTATATTTGGGTTGTTTCCATCTTTTGGCTATTGTGAGTAGCGTTGCTATAAACATGCAGGTGCAAGCTTTTGTTTGAGCACCTGCTCTCAATTCTTTTGGGTAAAAAATATAGTCTCTTAATCATATACCTATGCTGACTAAGAAGGAGATGGCCAAATATTTCAAAATCTTTAGACTTTTAACAAATTTTGAGAACCTACTGTAAAATTGCCTAGAATGCTAAGCACAGGGAATATAAATTGCAATGAATAAGACAGACATCCTCCCTATCCTCCTCAGGAATGATAGAAAATTGAAGCCCTGGCTGGTTTGGCTCAGCGGTTAGAGCGTCGGCCTGTGGTCCTAAGAGACCCGGGTTCGGTTCCCGCTAAGGGCGCGTACCTCGGTTGCAGTTTGTCCCCGGCCCTGGTTGGTTGTGCGGGTGGAAGCCTCTCGATGTGTTCCTTTCACATCGATGTTTCTCTCTCTCTCTCTCTGTTCCTCTCTCTCCCTCCCACTCTACCTGAACAAAAAATGGAAAAATGTCCTCCGGTGAGGATAAAAAAAAAAAGAAAAGAAAAGAAAAGAAAATTGAATAAGTGAGTAAAACACAGACTGGGCAGCAATTAGACTTCCTTTTCCATTTGCTATTAAAGGAAAGTAAAAAAGGGCAATGAGCCACCTGAGCAAGATGTTCTATCAGGATGCTTCTGGATGCAAGAAACAAGTACAGTTAAGAGTAGCTTAAACAATAATGACCTTTATCATCTTATGTAATAATAAGTCTGACGAAGGAAGGTTCCAGAGCAGGGTAAGTCAGCAGCTCAACATCAAGAAACTAGGTTTTCCCTGTCCTCCTGCTCTACCATCCTCATAGTCATAATAAGAAATGGCAACTCTAGGCATCATGTCCTCCTCACATAACAAGGCCTGAAGAACAGAAGTGGGAAGCTCCCTTTCCAATCCCTTTTTAGGTATAAGAAAAATGTTCCCAGATATCCTCCAGAATACTTCCCTTTGGGTCTGTTCTGCCAGATTTGTATCACAAGCCTATTCCTACACTAATCATTGGCAAGGGAATGGAAGCACAATACATTATTTAAAATTAATCAACTCTGAGACTGAAAGAGGGCCCCACTTCCCTTGGGGCATACAGCCATCCAATGCCCTAACAAAATACAGGTTCTGCGGACATGTAAGAGGAAAAGATGGGTAGCCAAGAGTGTCTGCATGGGTGCCTTGGCAAGAGTTCCTGTTCTTTGAGCTGGGTGTTTTCTTTCTTTTCTTCTTTCTTGCTTTCTTAATCCTCACCCAAGGATATATATTTTTATTGATTGAGAGAGAGGAAGGGAGAGGGGCAGAGACAGAGAAACATCAATGTGAGAGACAAACATCAATCAGTTTCCTCCCATAGGCACCCTAACCCGGGATGGAAACTGCAACCTAGGGAATCAAACCCAAAACATTTTGGTGTATAGAACAATGCTCCAACCAACTGAGCCACCTGGTCAGGGCTGAACTTGGTGTTTTTAGAGCTCCAGGCCTCAACTGAATATCTCAAAAGAAAAACAAACAAAACCCCAAACTTCAGCATGTCCAAGACTGAACCCATGATTCTCGTCAAAGTGTTCTCTTCCAGTGCTCTAATTTATTGTGAATAACACCACCATTTGGGTAAAATGGAGCACCAGCTGCTCCAATCCGAAAAGGAGAAGTCATCATACTCTCCTCCTTTTCCTCCTCCTCATCCATATCTAGTATATCAGCAAGTCCTGTGGATAAAACCTACAAAATAACTCTTGTATGTTCTACTCTCTTCACCTCCACTGCCATCATTCTAGTCCAAGTTGCCAGGCCATTATCAGCTCTTTCCTGGAGGTCTGCAGCAATCTTTTGCTTGGTTGACCTCTCTCCAAGCCCTTCACGTTGCAGCCAGAGTAGCCTTTTCAAGTATATGCTCATATTTAAAATGTGCTTCTCACTGCTGGTAGAATAATGACCAAATAAGGCCCTCTCCCAACTCTTTGCAACCCAGGTCACTGGTTGTCTTTGAGCTTGTGAATGGGCTGTGCTCTACCTCACCTCAGGACTTCTGCAGTTGCCATTGCTCCTGCTCCTTGTAATCATTCAGATCTCAGCTTAATCAGCACTTCCTGGGGAAAGCTTCAGGTTCCTTTTCTGTCTCATAAAGAAGTCTGTGCCGTTCCTTCGGGACACTTTTCTGTCTATATACGGTAAGATCCAAGAAAACACGGAGCTAGCATCTCCTACAACATAATGCCTGGCACCTACTAAGTGTCCGATATATATAAGTTGTTCAGTGGCTAAATGAACACACAATCTTCCAAGACGAGTAGCCAATGATGAATGCGAATCCAGTTCTAGAAAGAACACAAATAATGGCCATGACCCACCCACACAGGCGGTCCTGCCTGGACCACAAAACTCCGAGCTCCTTCCAGTAGCTGCCGCCCCTTGGGCTCCGCCCTTCCCTGCGAGTCGAGGGGTGGGGCATAGAGGTCGCCAGACGTGACAGAAGCCGGCCTCTGATTGGGCTTCCAGGCGTGCCCGCTAAGAAAAGGGGCGTGTCCGCTTGCTCTGATTGGCTGTCTGGCGGCTGGGGCTGGCGGCAGAGGCTGCGTGGGGGCTGGCACCGGGAAGGAGGGGACCGGGCAGGGAGGGCAGCATCGGCGGGAGAGATGGGTCCTCGCGGCCGGCTTCGCTGAAACTCGCTCGCGTGGGCTGCCCGCGGCGGGCCCACAGTGGCCGCGGCGGCATGAAGGGCTCTCTGGGGAGTCCCGTGGCCGCGGCCGCCGCAGGCGCCGCGATGCAGGAAAGTTTCGGCTGCGTCGTAGCCAACCGCTTCCACCAGCTGCTGGACGACGAGTCGGACCCGTTCGACATCCTGCGCGAGGCCGAGCGCCGACGCCAGCAGCAGCTGCAGCGCAAGAGGCGAGACGAGGCGGCGGCGGCTGGGGCTGGCAACCGCGGCGGCCGGAGCCCGGCCGGGGCCTCGGGCCACAGACTCGGCGCGAGCGGCGGCCGGCGGGAGTCCCAGAAGGAACGCAAGAGCCTCCCGGCCCCCAGCGCGCAGCAGCCGGACAGCCCCGGGGGCGGCCCGCAGCCAGCCGGTACGCGCGCCCCGCCGGGCACCTGGGCGACCTCGGGTGAGCGCGGTGGGCAGGAGGGCCAGGAGAATGGGGTCACGGAGGTCGCCCCTTTTCAGCCGTCCCAGTGGCCCCACTGAGAGACTGTGGTCACTGGAACTTGCTCCAAAAAGGGGAGGGGGCTTTGGGAGTAGTCGGGTTGAGTTGAGGGTCCCTGTAGCCCAAGAAGGTAGGAAAAGAGCGCTGGGGCGGGGATTGTCACGCCCCTTCTGACCTTTCCCAGTTCCTTCTTGGCGGGGAGGGGCTGCAGTCTTGGGGTAGGGGTCTCAAAACCCTGGAACTGAGCCTTCACAAGTTGAGCAAAGTTGAGGGGTGAAAATTGGGCTCTCTACCCCGGGTCTTTGCAGTCTAGAGCTAGTAGGAATCTTCTGCATCCTCCAGCCCACCCTCTGCAAGATTCAGGTCGGGAAGCAAAAAGAGACGAGGTAGGAGGAGACCCCCACTTAGGGAGGGTGCGGGAGGTAGGGCGCAACCGGCCCCAAGGAGTGGTGTCAAGAGTCCTGGTGTGTGAAAGATCGCCAGAGGGAGGTGTGCGGGCCTCTGTGATGAAGGGAAGGCCTGGGTGACCACTGGGGCGGTCTGTGACGTCGGCGCGAGCGGAATGCGGAGGGTGGACGCGGGATCCCCGGCGCCTTCCAAGCTCGGCGCCTTCCACCCATCCCCTTACTGTACCTTCCAGCTTTCAGCCGGCATTATTTTTCAATACCGCCTGTGGTGTTGGTGGGATGTGTAATTTGTCATTAACTCCGGCTGCTTTCTTTAACCTTTTCAACAAGGATATTCAAAGTTCCCCATCCCCTGTTTAGTCGGAGGGATGGTGCTTAAGAGTTCGTTTCTCACCTGAACTGCATCAATGGTATAGTCAGCAAGAGTACACCTGTGTTTTCCTGTTTTCCTAAAATAAGGCAGTAGTCCTAAGGTTTGCTGAAGAAGGGTGTTCAGATTAAAATGAACACTACAGCCAGTGTTTGGCAGTGTATTCATCTGGACTCTACTAGCTAGCTGTTTGCTTGATAAAAATTGTGCATCCCACAAATTGGCAGTTACAGAATAGTCACCGGGATATAAAGTTCAGCATAGAGAATACTGTCAATAATATTGTAATAACTATGTAATAACCATGTGGGTACTAGACTCATGGGGGAATCACTTGGTAAGTCACATAAGTGTCTTTCTTAACCACTATGCTGTACACCTGAATCTAATATAATATTGATTCTCAACTGTAGTTTAAAAATTTTTTAAATTGTGCATTCCAGCCCTGGGAAAACAACTGATTTAAGTATTGGGGCTTTAACTCCTTGAACTGGTAATGTTTATCTTTAGCTGTGAAAAGTGCAGTCCAGCAATATCACTTGAGAATCAGAAAACAAATCACTATAATACAGATGTTGAAAATTATTTAAAATGCTATCTCAAGATCCCTTGGTAGGCCCATAAGTTTATGAGCATATTTAAACAGTGAGACTTGAGATGTGATGTACATTTTGTATTCTCTATTTTTTCTCTTAAATTTATTTAGACAAAAATAGTCATAAAAGAATAGAGAAAGCTAAGCTTTTCCTCTCCCTTTATTTTTTAATAAATGAAAATGTGTATTTTATCCTTTAGAATAGTGTGAAATTACATTTAGTGCTATTAACATATCACATTTAAACCTTTTTAAAATTAAAAATGCCATGCATTTTTGTTATAAAGATTTTAAACAAGTTAGAAAGGCATGAAGTGAAGTGGGAATCTCTTATTTTTTTCTATTGTTAACACCTTGTATTTATATACATAAATGCACAAAGCTGTTTTTTTTTTTTTTTCTAAATTTAAACAATATAAACTGTACTGCACTCTTCTTTCACTTAGCCTTATAATCCAGTATGTTGATAACTTTTTTTCTATCAATTCTTCTCAGTCCAGGTGATCTGGGTTTTGAGATCTGTATTAAAGATCTTTAGTTAATTTTGTAGTTAGAATGGAAATTTTGTCATTCTAGTTTTTTTTTAAAGTATGTTTTTTTCAGGAGCAAACAGCTCATTTTTATTTACATGGTTACTGTACTAAACTTATCTGTAATGGATGTTAGAGAGCTACTCTTGAGGTTTTGTAGCTCCAATTTATATAGACTATTCTTTTCTAACCCTCAAAAATTTTAATTTAGAATATTGTGAGTGAATGCTTAGTCTAGTCAAGAAACAAAGTCAAACCATGTTTGACATATAATGGAAACATTTGTTAATCTCAAAAGGATGTGGAAATAATAAGATTTTCCCATGGAGGTTTTTAATGTTCTTCACTATTTAACAATATATAGTTGACCCTTGACTAAGCAGGTTGGAACTTTTCAGGTCCATTTATTTATACATGGATTTTTCAGTTGACCCAAATTGTTCAAGGGTCAACTGTATGTTGACCTTTGTGTGACCCTTGCTCAATAAATTTGTTCTTGAAGTCCTCAGAGGCTGTTTCATCTTACTTTTCTTAGCCTTTCAGAACTATTGTCTTTGAGTCAAAGCTCAACTTTATTTTGTAGAAAATCTCATTATAAATTTTATTGTATTCTGTCCCTTCATGGGCTTGGATTTTGATCAGTTAATTGGCTGCATGTGCCAACCTTTTATTGGAAAGAGCTAGTGAAATTCAGTGTTTGCATTACCCACTTGGACTGCTGATCCAGCACAGAAAAACAGACTATGATCAGCTGCAATCTTAATCTGTTAGCACTAAATTGTGAGGAAAATTGTATTCCTATTAGCTTTTTTGGGTTTTGGAGAGAGAATGAAATATTTGCAGGGTATTGATAATTATCCAGTCACATTGAATGGTTTTCAATTTATACACAGAGACTTGTGAAGAAGTTTTAATATAGAGTATGCAGTAAATGTCATTTTACATTTTGAATGGTGAATTCCAAATTTAATTGATACAACTCAAAAATAACCTTGAGGATAGAGAAGGTGGTTATAAGCTCCTAAGTAATGCTGTAGTTTAGTGTCGATATTAAGATTTACTTTTAAATTACAGGTTATAAATAGGAAATTTGAAGCTGTATTAAGATAACTTTTTACATTGAGGGAAATGTGTTGAAAAGTATTATCACTGTTGACATATTTGCTCATGACTGTTATGTCATGTTCTATTATAGTTTGTAACTTGTAGGATAATTAAATGCCTCTTCCAGATCTTATCTCTAGTAGAATGTATATACCCTTGGATCTGGCATTGTGTACTCTGGACAAAGGGGCACGAGTGTCAGTCTGTTTTGTTTCTGTAGTAAAAGCATAATCCTCTATTTCTGACATGTTCCCCATATCCTAAACATGTCACAAGCGCACATTGAGACTTTAGTACAAGATGTAGATTGGATTTAAGCATTTCCAGGTTGTGGGGTATTAACTTAAGTTTGAACTTAGATCTATTGTACAACTTTTCACATTAAAAAAAAAATACTTTAGTCCAGCTGGTGTGGCTCAGTGGTTGAGCATCGACCCATGCACCAAGAGGTCGCCGGTTCGATTCCCGGCCAGCACACATGCCCAGGAAGGTGGCCCGGGAGGTGGCCCGTCGACATTCTCTCTCATCGATGTTTCTATCTCTCTCTCCCTCTCACTTCCTCTCTCTCTCAAAAAAAAAATCAATAAAGGAAAAAAAATACTTTATGTTAAATGATGTAATAAATTGCAGAATTTTACCTTACTGATGATATAGACATGATTTTTGCTTTACAATGAGATTAGTAAGGTATTAGAATTATGTTAATACATGTGCCCAGTTTACGAAATTTAGAAAATATTAAGTGGGAAATGGAAAAATATGTATAACCATATTCCTTAAGAATCATGTTTGTCTCCGTAGGAGTGGAAATGAGCAATTTAAAGACTACTCGTTAATGCAATATATTTAATATCTTTATAGCCATATAACCAATTGAAGAGTAACTTACAGAAAAACCAAAGGTACTGTTAAAAAAATTATACATAATGTTTGAGATGAGGACCTTTTAAGTGTATACAGAGAAAAGATAAACATTTTTAGAAGAGGTTTTAAGAAGTGACAAAAGTTCTTCAGAACTTATTTACCAGGTGTGAGATGCCTGTCGCACATTGACTCTGCTTAAAATATTTAAAGGATCAAAACTGGAGGGGAGTAAAGAAAGGTGAGAGGAGAGAGGAGAACACTGCTCCAGCTGAGTGCTGGCTCCATGGATGAGAGAAGCCCCTCTGGACACTAACGGACTTTTGTATGATTTGGCTAGACAGGGTTGGCCTCATGTAGAGACATATGATCATAAATACCATGAAGTAGCAGAAAAATATTTTTCTAAATAATGATAATGGTACCAGCTGTATTTAAAAACAAAAACCTTAGTAGCTGATGGTAAATCACAGTTGGGGTTCAAAAAATACAATTTAAAATACAGGGTATTGCCCGGCCGGTGTGGCTCAGTGGTTGAGCGTCAACCCAGCACCAGAGGTTGCTGGTTCAATTCCTGGTCAGGGCACATGCCCAGGTTGTGGGCCTGATCCCTCAATGGGGGGCATGCAGGAGGTGGCCAATCGATGTTCTCTCTCATCAGTGTTTCTCCCTCTCCTCCCTTCCTCTCTCTCAAATCAATAAAGAAAAAAAAACTTTTATTAAAAAGTAGTGGATGCTGGGCCATGGTAATATCAGCAACTTTTCTTCTCTAAACTTTTCCAAATTTTCTGAATTTTCCCAATGACATTGATTTCTAGAAGAGTGAAATGTAAAAGTACCTGTAAATAATGTGCTGTCGTAGGTAGACCTTGTCTTCAGCTCTCCCCTTTGATTTTTGCTGGCAGGCCAGAAGCGAACTCCTAGAAGAGGGGAGCAGCAAGGCTGGAGTGACAGCCGGGGGACAGAGGTGATGCTGGATCGAGCAGAGCGGAGAGCCTACCGGGAACATCAACCCTACGAGACCGAGAGGCAGGCGGACTTGACACCTGAGAAGGTCACAGATGAAAAGTATGTACTGCAAACAGATCTTGGCCAGGAGGGTTGAGGAACCGGAAGGGTTTTCAGAGAACTACCAGCCTTTGTGAACTTTTTGTGCTGCCAATCCTGGAAATAGGTTGCCAGTTTAAGTAGCAAATCATATTACCTTTGGTGCCACGTGAAGGATCTTCCATTTGTCTCCTAAATGACCTGAAGTCTTGGTTCAGGCAATGATTTTATGCTGAAAAATGAATTATTTGTTGGTAACTGTGAAAAGCACTCATAAAAAAACACAGGAGTATGTTCAAGTGGTTAAATTTTCTTTTGAAGTTTAGACTAGGGATATAATTATGTTTTTGATTTGGCATTATTAATTCAGACTACTGATGAATTTAAACAAATCCCTAGCCCCCATGGTCAGATCCATAGGCTATCATGATGAAATTTGAAGAAAAACTCATATGATGTGTGACATCAATTTCTGGCTCCCATAACTTCTCTAGAAAGTGCTCTGACCTGGAAGATGGTCTCGGGCTGGAATAGTCTGACACCACTCCTGAGTGATGTGGCATCATGCAGGCATCTGTGCCCACCTGTACACAGGTAGCAGTTCTTTGTGTCTTACGCTTGGCACTAACAGGATGGATGCTTGCTGCCTAAAGTTTTTGTTTAATTATTAAACCTGTATAGCACTTGAGTTTAGATTAAACTGAAACAACTTGTGAATCACATTTAAAGGAAAATGAAGTAAAAAAAGGCTTAAAGACACTAGAGTAGTATATAGTTTAAGGTCAAAGGAACCATTATTCCCAAAGTCTTTCAGTTTCTTGACTAATCCCATTTATGATCCTGGCTATAAGTTTTGTTTTTGTTTTTGTTTTTATGTTTTTATTGATTTGAGAGAGAGAGGAGGTTGTGTGTGGGGGAGAGAAACATCTATGTAAGAGCAAGATTTCATTCAGTTGCCTCCTGTACGCACCCTGTCTGGGGATTGAACCTGAAACCTGGGCATATGCCCTGACTGGGAGTCGAACCAGCAACCTTTCTGTGCATGGGATGATGCTCAATCAACTGAGCCACACCGGCCAGGGCCTGACTACAAGTTGTTTTGTTTTTCTTATCCTCACCCGAGGAGATTTTCACGTTTATCTTCACATAGAGGGAAAGGGAGAGAGGGGGGAAGAGAAAGAGAGGGAAACATCGACCGGAGAGAGATACATCGACTGATTGCCACCCACACAACCCCAGCTGGTGCCGGGGACAAACTGCAACCGAGGTGCGTGCAGGAACCGAACCCGGGACTCTCTGGTCCACGGGCCGACACTCTAACCGCTGAGCCAAACTGGCTAGGGCCTGACTACAAGTTGTTTTGTTTTTCTTATCCTCACCCGAGGAGATTTTCACGTTTATCTTCACATAGAGGGAAAGGGAGAGAGGGGGGAAGAGAAAGAGAGGGAAACGTCGACCGGAGAGAGATACATCGACTGGTTGCCACCCACACAACCCCAGCTGGTGCCGGGGACAAACTGCAACCGAGGTGCGTGCAGGAACCGAGCCTGGGACTCTCTGGTCCACGGGCCGACACTCTAACCGCTGAGCCAAACTGGCTAGGGCCTGACTACAAGTTTTAACCAAAGAATATGGCTTTGTAGAATTATACACTAGAGTCCAATAATACAAACCTAAAAAAAAAGTCCCCAGAGAGTAGCTCAGCGTGAGAGGGCTGAGCAGATGGTGGCTTCTCAGTTCTGTCCCCTAGCAGTTACCTGTTCGAAACATCCAGATGGTGTTTCTGCCAGTACATTGGAGATGTGGGTTGGAAAAAGGCTTAATTCTGCCCTTTCTTGGTGATTACTTCCAATTTTCTGTGTAATGACCACAGTCTGCATGCTTATAAAAAGCCTTCTGGGTCATAGTTGCTTATTTTAGGAAGCATTTGTGTGTTTTTTTCTCACTTCAAGAATTTGATTCTGTGGAAATAAGGAAATTATAGCTCAAAAGCACAAACACGTGTTTCCAGTTTTTTTTAGTAGCAAACTGTAAGTCTTTAAAAAGGATAAGATAGGTCTTTATATGTTAATATGAAAAGATGCCTGTTAAGTAAAATCATACATGTATATAAGGCCAGGGGTAGGGGGGGATATGGAATTATGGAGTGATTTTTTTTTCTTTAAAAATAATTTCAAATTTACAAAAAGTTGCAAGAACTATACAAAGGATTTATATACACCTCATCCCGATTTCCCAAATGTTAACATTTTATCACAGCTGCTTTATTATACTCCTCTCCTCTTTCTCTCAGTTTCTCTCCCCCTGCACATTCTCTTCTCTCTCTCTCTCTCTCACACACACACACACACACCTTTTTTCTTTATCATTCTTTTGTTGTTATTAATCCTCACCCAAGGATATTTTTTCCATTGGTTTTTAGAGAGAGTGGAAGGGAGAGAGAGAGAGACATCGATGTGAGCAAGACATGATTGGTTGCCTCCCACATGCACCCCGACGGTGGTCAGGGATCAAACCTGCAACCCAGGTATGTGCCCTTGACCGAGACTCAAACCTGAAACCCTTTGGTGTACAGGCCAACACTCTAACCACTGACCCACACTGGCCAAGTGTTCTTTGTCATTTGAGATGAGCAGAAGGTGCAGGAATGTCCCTTTATCCCTTCAAATGTATTTCCTAAAAACACGATACAATTATTTGACTTATTAACATCAGTACAATTCTGTTGAATTCTTTAAATTATGTAATCTACAGACTGCTCAAATTTCACCAGTTGTCATGGTAATATCCTTCCGGCAAAAGAAAAAAATAAGCCTGCTTCCAGATCCAGTCCAGGAATGGGCATTACATTTGATCTTTTTAAATTTGGAACAGCTCCTTAGTCTTCCTTGGTCTTTTATGAATTTGCCTTTTTGAAGAGTACAGGCCAGTTGTTTTATAGAACAGCCCAGAATTTTAATTTTTCTGGCATTTCCTATTGGAACACTCTTATTTGGCAGGAATACCACAGAGGTGATGTCTCATGTCCTTCTTGGTGTATCACATTTGGAATATGTAGGTATTTTTACTTTCAAGGAAATTTGAATTTTTTGGGTAAGTCATGTGCCATCAGAAAAGATACTTCCTTAGTTTCTTTAAACATACTTTTCTATTAATAAAGATCCATAAGATCTTTAATAAAAATAATTTATTTAGTCTCTTCGGGCAATTTGGAAACATGTAAAATTATAAAGGAAATTAAAACCTCCAATCTTACCATCTGAGATGATCACTCTTAGCACTTTGCTTGTTTTGTCCTTTTTTTCTTTTTTTTATCCTCACCTGAGGACATTTTTTCTTTTTTTTTTTTTTGTTCAGATAGAGTGGGAGGGAGAGAGAGGAAGAGAAAGAGAAACATCGACGTGAAAGGGACACATGGAGTGGCTGCCTTCCGCATGACCCAACCAGGGCCAAGGACAAACTGCAACCGAGGTATGTGCCCTTAGTGGGAACCGAACCCATGTCTCTCTGGACCGCAGGCTGACGCTCTAATTGCTGAGCCAAACCAGCCAGGGTTGTTTTGTTCTTTTTTAAAATAAATTTTCTTTATTGATTTTAGAGAGAGGAAGGGAAAGGGGGAGAGAGAGAGAGAGAGAGAGAGAGACAGAACCATCAGGGAGAGAGAACATTCATCATCACCCCCTGCATGCTCCCCACTGGGGATCGGGCCCACAACCTGGGCATATGCCCTGACCAGGAATTGAACCAGCAACCTCTTGGTGCATGGGTCGACGCTCGACCACTGACCCACACCAGCCAGGCTCTTCTTTTTTTATTTTTTAATCCGCGCCTGAGAATATTTTTCCATTTATCTTCAGATAGAGTAGTAGGGAGAGAGAGGGAAGAAAGGGAGAGAGAGAGAGAGAGACATCGACGAGAGAGGGGCACAGGGACTGGTGTCCGGGGCCGGGGCCAAACTGCAACTGAGGTACTTGCCCTAGGCCAGAATCTAAGTCAAGACTCACTGGTCTGCGGGCCAACACTCTACTGCTGAGCCAGACCGGCCAGGGCTCTTCCTTTTTTTATACATAGATATACTTGATGTTAAGATCATAATGCATATATACTGAGTACTTTATGTTCTTTCCCATGTGACATGGCAGAAGTCTTCTCCATGTCATTAACAATGTTTAGTAAGCATTTTTAATGGTTCTTTTATTACCTATTGTTTGTATATATTATAATGTAATTATTTCCTTAGTGTTAGGCCTTTGCTCAGCTTCCATTTTTTTTTTGCTTTATAAATAATATTCAGTGAGCAGCTTTGTATATATGTAGGGTCTTTTCTAGATGGAGCTCTGGAAGTGGGGTCCTAGTTAGGGGCATAAAGTGGGAGGTTCTCATAGATCCAAATCTGGGCCCCAGCTGTGCTTCAGTGCAAGGTTGGATGGGTACATGTAGCGTGGAAATAAACAAAAATTGGGTGAGGGGGTATTGATACATAGTGACAAATCAGAATCCTAGTAGCCTGTCAATTTACTCTGTCACTAACAATCTATAAAAGCATTGCACGTAGTACTTTCTCCAGACTTAAATATATATAATAAATTAATGTTTGGCCCAGCCAGTGTGGCTCAGTGTGGCTCAGTGGATTGAGCGTCAACCCATGAACTGAGAGGTCCCGGTTTGATTCCTGGTCAGGGCACATACCCTGGTTGCGGGCTCAATCCCCAATAGGGGCTGTGCAGGAGGCAGGAGGTTTCTAACATCAATGTTTCTATCTCTCTCTAAAAAAAATCAATAAAAATATATTTTAAAAAATTAATGTTTGATCTTTGTTTATTTGATAGTGAGAAATGGTTATCACCTTGCATTCCTATGATACCTATCCATGTTTATTGGACAGAATTATAGAATCTTGATCATAGAATCTTAATCATTTTAACAGACTGTGTAATTCCATCCTTGTGATTTATGGATGAAGAAACAAAGGCCCAGAATTTCAGCGATGTGGATTCTGGTCATGGCCAGGTGACAGGGAT